GCCAGGAGCCAGCAGTACTGCTGTCCAGCGCCTGTGAGTAACCACGTCATCACAACAGGCAGAACATCAGGTGAGGATCTGAGGTGCAGATTCATCTCTCTCTCTCTCTCTCTCTCTCTCTCTCTCTCTCTCTCTCTCTCTCTCTCTCTCTCTCCTCTTTCTCCCTTTCTCCTTTTTTAAAATACCAGCTTGAAGAGCCTGAAGGAGTGAAGATTCTGAGATTTTCTAGTCCTATTTTTTATGGCAATGTTGATGGTTTTAAAAAATGTGTCAAGTCCACAGTAAGTATTTTATTCCTAAAAGTTTGACTTTTTAAACTTATTTTCTGATTTGACTTATTTATTGGGACCAACTAGAAATAAGGCCTTAGGCTTGGTTCTCTGTGTGGCATTAAAAACTATATTGTGGCATAGTGTGGTAATACACACCTGTAATCCCAGGATTTAAGAAACTGAGGCAGGAGGATTGCTGTAAGTTTGAAACCAGCTTGATTTACGTAGGCTAGGCAGGGCTACAGACTTAGACCTAGTCTCACAAAAGCAAACTACATAATGAACAAACAACTATATTATAACATCTATTCTCCATATAACCTACAATGTGGGAGGGAGAGGAGGGGGAGGGAGAGGAGAGGAGAGGAGAGGGAGATAGACAGACAGGGATTTGGAGTTGGGTCTGAGGCATGCAGGTAGGAAGCACAGAGTCAGAGGCTGGGATTTGCTGAGTTCCAGAGGCTGAGTGAACTGGTTGCTCCAGCAGAGACAGGTAAGAGAATCCAGCTACCTTTCATAAATAGCTACAGCTATTCAAAACAACACCATGCCTTGAAGACTTTTATTTTAAAAATAGTTTCATTCATAAAATATACATTTTTGCTGACATGTAGTAAGTTTATTACTTTAAGAAATAGTTTTAAATGTTTAAAAAATACAAGAGGGGCTGAAAGACGGCTCAGCTGTTAAGAATATTTCCTGACCTAGCAAAGGAAAGGCATTTGGATCCTACCCCCACATCAAGTGGCTCATAAATACAGCTTGAAGGAATCTGGCTTCCCTTCTGGCCCCTGTGGGCACCTGCACACATGTGCACATCCACACACACATAAATACAATATTTAAAAAAGAAGCCAATAGAAGAAGTTTTAGTTGCAGACACTGGGTGTCTCTTAGGTGTCTATTGCTGAGATAAAACACCATGGCCAAAAGCAACTTGGGGAGGGAAGGGTTGATTTCATCTCAGAACTCCCAGGTCACTTTCATCACTGAGGGAAGTCAGGGCAGAAGCTGATGCAGAGGCCATGGAGGATGGCTGCTTCCTAGCTTGCTCCTCCTGGCTTTCTCGGCTTTTCTTACACAACTGAGGACCTCCTGGCCTGGGGTGGCTGTGTCCTCTCACGTGAATCATTAATCATGGAAATTCCTGACAGATTCTCTACAGGCCAATCATAGGGAAGCACTTTCTCAGTTGAGAGTCCCTCTTCCCAAGTGTCTCTAGCCTGTGTCAAGTTGACATAAAACTTTCCAATCAAATAGTGTGAGGAAGGTGGTGTGCTGGGTGTTGGGGAAGGATGTTAACTGAGAGAGGTGAGCACAGAGGAGTGGACAGGGGCTGCGCTGCCTGCCGGAGTAGAGAGTGAAAAGCATCGATGTGGTAAGGGAGTGAAAGGCTCCTGTCTCCAGTGCCGTGCTAGCCTTGCAATTTGGGATTTGCCAGAGTGCTGTTGTCCTGTTTCCAGAGTAAACCAGCTCAAAGGGAAGCTAACAGACCTCCCCCCTCCCCCGACAACAAAGTGGCTTTGTGACATCAAGAAAATACAGACTTAAATATATATAAATGGTTCCCCCCCACCCCGATTTTGTCTTTTTTTACTGGCTTAGAGCCTTTAACCTGCTAGTCTTCCCTCCTCATCTCTAGTGGAGTAGGGTGCCTGGTGATAAAGAGGAGTCTACTCCCTTAGACCTCATAATTTTTTTTTTTATTCCGGCAGGGGTTCTTTCAAAATAGTACCTTTTAAGAAATAGCCATTCTGGGGTCTGGAGAGATGGCTCAGCAGTTAGGAGAGCTTACTGTTCTTTGAAGCACCAAGTCTGAATTCAGTAGGGGAGTTCACAATCCCCTGTTACTCCTCAGGACTCCTTGGACATCAGCACCCACATGTGCACATACCCACATACAGACACATAAGTAACAATAAAAGAGAAACAATCCCTCAGATAACAAATGCCATGGAACATTAAGAACCAGACATTTTAAGTAACTGACATTTATTTCCAAAGGTTGGATTTGATGCCATTAGAGTTTATAACAAAAGGCTGAAAGCACTGCGGAGAATACAGAAACTCATCAAAAAAGGACAACTAAGGGCAACAAAGGTGAGACAACATCTTTCTCCCCCTCTAGGCCCTTCCTCTGACGAAAGCAGTTAGATGGTCTAAAATTAAAACCACCCCATTTGGTGTCCAGATGCACAAGAGCAGATGACAGACGTGCATCCCAGAACAACCTATCTGTTGTAGGCTCCAGGGGAAGGGTGTGGTAATGAGACCAGTAGAGCTCCCTCAAAACAGAGGCAGCCCCATTAAAAAATGAGCATCTGTACTATTTTTAAACATTATTTTTACTGAAAAGAACAAGGTACAAATTCAGTGCCAGAAAACTACAATAGTAATTTCATGAACTTTCACAGTTTTTGCTGTGACTTTTCTGTATCTCTTGAAAAAGTCCCACAATCATCCAGAAATCCAATTTCTTGGCTCCTTGGTCTTCCATTTTCTTCTTAGAGAGTAGCAAAGTATAGATGGTAGTAAAATTCATTCTCAAGACTGCATTCCCTTGCTATATTGGTTTTCTAAGTGGTCCATGCAGGACTTTTGAACAGTTTGGGGTGAACTGATGAAAGGTATTTTGTATTATTGACAATAAAGTTGGTGGTGTTTTCTTTGTTAGAACGGGATCATAAGTGATGTTGGTTCATCAAATAATGCTTTTGAACCTGATGAAGATATTGAAGAGCCAGAGGAAATTGATATTCCAACCAAAGAAATTGAGATTCAAGTGGACTGGAACTCTGAACTCCCGGTTAAAGTGAATGTCCCCAAAGTGCCAATCCACAGCCTGGTGCTGGACTGTGGAGCTGTGTCCTTCCTGGATGTGGTAGGAGTGAGGTCATTGCGAATGGTGAGGTTCTGGTTGTTTGTACTGTAGACTTGGGGTATTGGTTCACTCGGCTGTGTGAAAGGGCTCTGTAATTTGTCTAAGTGAATTTTCTTCTCTCTTCTTCTTCCTCCTCTCCCTCCTCCTTTTTGGCAATAGAGTATAAGCTCTGGAGTCAGGCTCTGTGAAGCGAATCCTGCCTCCACTACCAAGAACAAGTTTCTTAATGGGCCTTTGTCTTGGCTTCTTCTTTTGTAATATAACCAGAATGATGGTATTTACTACACAGGTATCATGAAGATCAAGTGAGCAGCACATATAAGTAATACAGACGAGTATCCGGCACACAGACGTCTCTTAGAAGATGTTAATACTTAGTATGTTTATTTTTCAGAGAATGTAAATGTTTTCCATGAAAACAAGGAAAAGTGGTACAGCTTGTGTTAAGTATTATATTCTACTTGTTATGGAACAGCAATAGGACTGAACTAGAAGAGGCAGGCATTGTTAAGAAGCAAGGGCAGGCCTTGGGTCATACCCAGGAAGTCAGGGCAAGATTAAGCAACATGCTGGACAGAAGCACTCACAGAACCAAGAGCAACAGCAGAATCTCAAGTTCATTCATTCGATGCTTCAATGTGTGCTAATTGCTCCACCTAGCAGAAGACTCGTGATGCGGTAGGCACAGTGTCTCTACTAAAGAGGAAGGTAAACATTCAGTCATCGTACAAACAACTGCAGTAGGTGCTTCAATGTACTTTAAATAGGTGTTATCCCAAGTGTTAAATTTAGATGAAGCTTCAGGTAGGTACCAAGAGGGTCAGACAGAGAGGCCAGCAGGGTAAGGCACCAACAAGAGATATAATTACAGGAAATGGGCTTCTGTCTAGTTTTAGCTTAGCTGAGGGCTACCACTGCAGGAGCAGAAACTGATGCCAGGGTCTGGCTGCTAGATAGGTGAGTATTTACACTTGGCAAAAGACTATGAGAATATGCTGTGAGGCTCTGCTCTCTCAGCAGGTCTGTTAGCTCATTTGAGAACACATGCTGGCTCTTTGTTGTTTATCTCCTCCTGCGCAGTGATATCTCTTGGCGTATAGATTATACTGGCCCCTTGGTTTAATGGTTTTATAGAGTCCTAATGCCAGAATATGTTCCACACTTGAATAGCTGTTTATGTTCTAGTGACAATTAGTCTGGATTTTTAAAAAAAAAATCAAACTTTTAATGGTCATTGTAAATTCACACTTAGTTTTGAGGGATATTAGAGAAATTCTATGTGCCTCCTTCCTAATTTCTCCCAATAGTTATATGGCATAAAAAACTATAGTACAAAAGTGAAATCAAGATAATTGGCATTGGTACATTTAAAACAAAGACCTGGATGTTTAGTGAGATTTGACTTTTTGGTAAGTCTTATACTTTTTGTTACAATGAGCAAGAACTATTTGGGAGCCTAACTACTTCATTGTTTCTTTCCTTCTACAAATATTTATTGAGTACCTCTGTGTTATGAATTGCTGGCTAATACACACTGGATGTTGTTTTTCCTCTGTCTTTTTAAAAACAGGTCTTGCTATGTAACCCTTGAATTAAAAGGCCCTTGCTTCAGCCTTTTGAGTGACAGCATTACCAGCGCAAGCTACCTTACTTGGTGTGCTGTTTCTTAAGATACATCACATACTTTTTTTTGTTGTTGTTTGTTTTGTTTTTTGAGATAGGGTTTCTCTGTGTAGTTTTGGTGCCTGTCCTGGATCTCACCCTGTAGATCAGCCTGGCCCCGAACTCAGAGATCCGCCTGGCTCTGCCTCCCTAGTGCTGGGATTAAAGGCGTGAGCCACCACCACCCGGCCCATCACATACATCTTTATCTACAGCATTATGTCAGGCTGAAAATATCTATGGTTTTCCAGTAATAAACTCTCCTGAAAGTCTTGATTAACCATAGAAATGTTGACATTTCTCCTGAGCAAATGTTTAAATATGACTGAATTCTTTTCTATTTTTAGATTGTCAAAGAATTTCAGAGAATTGATGTGAATGTGTACTTTGCTTTGCTTCAAGGTAAATGCCTATGTGCACATATATCAAACTTGCCCCACATCTCCTTCCTTGGAATGTGAATATATAATGTCTGAAGACCTTTTAAAAAAATCAAACAAAATTAAAAGAAAACTATTTTGTATTATAGTACAGAATGTCTAAGAAAATATCATCGTAGTAACCTTTAAATATGCAGTTAATCACAACATTAAATAATTGTGTGCTATTTCCAAAACTTTTCATCACCACAAATAACTGTGTACCTATTACAGTAGCTTAGGGCATTTTTGAGCTTTGAAAGAGATTTCTTCCGATTTGTGCCATAGAGCCAGCAAAGTATTGAAACTTGTTTCCTGATAGTGGTGGTAGTGACTGTGGGGACATTGTTTCTGGGGAGAGCAGAGGTGAGACAACGAAGATCTTTTGGAACAGGAGAAATGCCAAGTATGAGTCTCTGTGACTTGTCTATAAGTAGAGGAGGGTACTGGTGCTTGGGATGAGTTCTCTGAGGGAGCCTGAGATGGAGATTTATTCACAAGTGATTGAGGGCATGAGGGAAGAGGGACAGGGCAGGAGATGAGGCTGGTCAAGCGCCTGATGTCAGAAGTTTGACTACACAAGTGGCTGTAGTCAGGGGTGGTTATGCAGGGTCCTACTTTATACCTTCATCTGTCAGTCAGTGGATGCAGGCCAGGTATGTGGGGGGGAGCTCCCCAGGCCTCTTCAAGTTATACAGCTCCCAGTGGCCAGAGAAATTCTCTGAAAAGGGCACAGATGTGAACCAGCAGCCAGGTTCACAGCAACTGGGGGATGGGAACATTGGCTTGGCAAAAGGGTCACCAAGACAGACTGCAAGCAACTGTGGGCTGACCATGCTGTGTGCTTCTGGTAAAGAAAGACAGCTATGTTAGAGCAGGGTCACAATTTAGAAATGAGAAAATAATGAAAAGGTGCTACCAAATTAAAAAAAAAAAAACCTGATATCATTTGATGTTATAAAAATCCTTTTTCTAGCAACTAAACATCTTTTTTCATTTGCAGATGATGTGCTAGAGAAGATGGAGCAGTGTGGGTTCTTTGATGACAACATTAGAAAGGACAGATTCTTTCTGACGGTTCATGATGCTATACTCTATCTGAAGAACCAGGTTAAATCCAGGGAGGGCCAGGATTCTCTTCTAGAGACGGTAAGCATTCACCTAACTCTAGTCTGAAAGCCAGGCTAACCTCTGGCTTTTAGGCCATCTGTTGAACTTCTAAGAGCCAGTTTCTCCTGGGTGAAGTGGGGATAAAACCACTTACTGCTGGAAAGACTGGAGGACTGAAGTAGTTTTTAGGAAGGTTGGTGCTCAAGACTTAAGAGTTCTGCAGTGTGCACGTTCACTGACAAATGTGGCATCAGCTGTAATGCTTTTTTAGAAGACAGCACTGAATCTTGGATTTTCTGTGACGCGTGTGCATAAATGTAGTATATATTATACCAATGTGGAATCCTTAATTTACAAAGTTAAGATTCAATTCATAAGTGATCTTTGGAAAACAAACAAAGAGCAAAAAATGAGGAGCTTGGAAGACTGAAGGCTAACTAACTCAGAAACTATTGCATTATTCTTTTTAGCTGTCAGTACAGAGGATGTTCTGCCAATGTTCCTGGTGAAAAGAGCAGCCGAAGCTATTGAAAGTGTCCATCTCAAATACACAAGTGTCCATACCTACTAAAAAGAAAAGCTGGGGGCTGGAGAGATGGCTCAGTGGTTAAGAGCACTGGGTGCTTCTCCGGAGGACCCAGATTCAGTTTCTAGCACCCCCATGGTGGCTTACAACCCTCTGTAACTCCAGTCAAAGGGCAATCTGATACCCTCTTCTGGCCTTTGTGGGTACCAGGCACACACTTGGCATACAGACGTATGTGTAGACAAAACACTCATACACATAAAATAAATAAAAAATTTTTCTTTAAAAAAGAAAAGCTACATGTAAGATGCTAATCTAAAATTCACCACCTTTGTTTCCTATCCAACTTAAAAATCTCTAACCCAGGCTGGAGAGTAGCTCAGAGGTTAGGAGCACTGGCTGCTCTTCCAGAAGTCCTGAGTTCAATTCCCAGCAACCACATGGTGGCTCATAACCATCTGTAATGAGATCTGGTGCCCTCTTCTGGCCTGCAGCGATACAAGCAAACAGAACACTGTAATAAATAATTCTTTTTTTTTTTTTTAAATATTCTAATCCTAGATTAAAAACAAAGCTGGCTCATATAGCTTTTTGAGATCACACATCAAAAGTAAAACAAAACCACGGCACCAAGTTCCTTCTCAACAGGAAAGCAGTTCTGTGATTTGTTAGCACCTATTCTGATGTAAAATCTTAGGCCACAAATGTGATAAAGCTGAATGATGAACAGTGCACTCACTATATCAGACTAGACTGATTCAGTCAGTGAGGTGCTGTGAGTGGCTGGCCTAGATTTTCACTTTCAGTCTATGTTAGCTAGAGTATAAATGATTGCTTGCAAGGTGGGCAGAGCATTTCTGGCTCCAGTGAGACTGGGAAACTTGCCTGTCTCCATAGGGTCCATTGTGAAACTTGACCCATCCTCACCAAGTGGTTTCCTTTCCTTCAGATAGTCACTTGCTCAGATATTAGATGCAGAGATTTATTACAAGATTTATCCTAGTATAGCCACAGTCTGCATCCACCATTCCATCATATTAAGACCATTTGTACAGGGACTTGGCCTTCTAACTGACTTTCACATAAATAAAGAGCACTGGGCTATTTGTGAGACAAAAAGTAGAAAACTAGTACTATAGGATGACATTTTAGCTTTGGTATATACTTGGTATTACTTTAGAAATGTCCTCAACGAACAAGAAAAATGCAAGTTATATTGTGTTGGGGGATGTCTTTCTGTACACTGTGAATATATGTTGTTCCCATTGGTTAATAAATAAGCTGCTCTGACCTATGGTGAGTCAGGTTATAGCCAGGCAGGAAATCCAAGAGAGAGACAGGAAGAAGAAAGGCAGAGGCAGAGGAAACACAAGCCAGCTGCCCAAGGAGCAACACGTAATGTGACACAGGTAAAGCCAAGGAACACGTGGTGGTACATAGATTAATAGTTATGGGTTAAGTTCAGTTGTAAGAGCTAGCTAGTGAGAAGCCTGAGCCAATAGGCCATACGGTTTGTAAATAATATTAAACATCTGAGTGATTATTTTATAAGCGGCTGCAGGACCTCAGGGCTGGAAGGGACTGGAGAAATCTGGCTACATGATATCCTCCATGGAAAGGATTAAATTATACATACATTATCCCTGAGAAGCAGAAATGTCCTAAACAGCCAACTCTTCCTCCAATAAAATTAAATTCCACTAAATTCAGGTTGGGACCCTATATTGTCCTGAGTCACCAGCCCACTGTGGTATAATCAAAATATTCTCAAAGCTGTATTAAGTGTTCTTAGCTTAGCTGTCAAAAGACAAGCACTATTGACTGCCTGTTGGGGGTGTCTTGTTAAGAGGTATATACTTCAGAGGTAGAGAAGAAAGCTGTTAAAGGAGTTTACACAGGGGAAAACTGGACCAGTTTGAATGTTTTTAAAAAATGGTAGAGGGAAACTCCTAAGATGAGAAATATGAAGGAGCAGGAAATTAGAAGAGGATTCTGAAATCCATAGATTACAGATGACAGTATCAGAAAAGCTTCAGATCATTTCAGTGGTATGTGCTATATTTGATGTTATTGTATTTCCAATAAATACTGTGTATGTTCTTTGTCAAGATCACCCTCATTCAAGACTGTAAAGATCCTCTTGAACTGATGGAAGCAGAGAAGAACGAGGAAGAACTTGATGTTCAGGATGAGGTATGGTCATCATTTTATGTAGAAAATAATTGGATTTAATATTGAATAAATGGAGTGAACAAGCAGTGAATCATTTAAGAGCAATCCAGGGAAAATCCAAAAACATCCTGAAAGGTATAGCTTTATAGGAGGAGAAATGGAAAGAGGAAATTCCCTCAAGGATGACAAAGACTTGGGGAACTTTAATTTTGGGCACAGAGAGATGACCAGTGACTGGTCGCCATAGGCTAGTTCTGATTTTATATTGAACTCAAAGCACACTTCTTCCTAGAGACCTAAGGCTATGGGGTAGGGAAAGGGGACAGGGATTTCTAACGTAGGGCCACAGTCAGTCTTCACTGGCTTACACACTTCCTTTGCACCAGGCTGAGGCTGTTTCAGGTGATCATGCCATCAGATTGTTTCTAGGACAGTTGACTGAATTTGAAGGATCTGAGTAAACTTTAGGGTTTTACTTCGAAGCAAAATGAGAGCAACCATGGAAGATCAGATAATTTTTTATCATTAAATTACCAAAGGATATAAATAAAAATAAGATAACTTTATACTTGATCTTAGCCAAAAGGTTGAGAATTAAAAGAATTTTAAATTGAAAGTTTTCTTGGAAACCAATACTGTGATATTCCAGCCCGTGCAGAAATCCCTCCTACACCAACCTGATTCACTTAATTTAGATTCTCTGTGAAAATTTCCAGAACTGGTAACCAGTGACTTCTCAAGGGAAGTTTCCATGGATAGAAATCCCAGTTAATTGTGCCTATGAAAGTGAGCTTGGCCTTTCTGTAATAACTACCAGTTATGCTTTCCCTAGCAACACAGGCCTTCCCTTGGGCCAGGCTATCACTCTTTGATAGCACCTCTGTTTCCAACAGACTCCCAGGGCAGCTTTTTCCAATTCCTTCTGTCAGTCTTCACAGATAAGCAGTCTATCAATGTTTTGCTGGCCAACAAGGGAACTACCAGCAGTTAGGTTGCCATGGAAACCATGCAACCATGACCATTTTGAGCTCATCGAGATATTTAAAGAACATATGTCTGTTTTTATTATAGCTACACTAAAATCTTGGGCTCTATTTAACAGGAGTCAAATAAAGACAGGTGCATTTTCACACAAACTATGATAGACCTGGGTTCTCCGTTCATACTTAGGCAATTGGTTTCTGTCTCAAATGCAAGATCATATTCAGTTCTGCTAGACTGCATTTTGGACCCAGTTTATTAACAGTTTTGGTTTTGACTGTCATCTCACATACTTACTTCAAGTCTGATAAGCAAACTATGATGACTTTCCAGGTCCTGATGGAAAGCACTAGGTAACATTCAAGCCCCGGTAGTAAAATTAGGCAGAGAATTTCGTGGAAGAAAGTAATGTTAGAATGAAAATCACAAGCCTGGTGTCTTGGCCCCCTAATAAGCCTATAAAAGTCATTATTAAACCAAGAAGTCTTTCCAGCTTTGGTAATTTATGACTCTATGAGGTCCTGGGTTCGATTCCCAGCACAAAATAAATGGATTCCTGTAATCCCAACACTTCGGAGGTAAAGGCAAGGAAGATCAGAAGTTGAAGTGTATCTGAAGCTACCTCTGGGGCTTGATGTCAACCTGGGCTAGAGATCTTATCCCCAAGAAATGAATGAATGAATGAAGAAATAAATAAATAAAGGAACTTGAGTGACTACCACACTGTGGAATAGATTGTTACTAATTTCCACATAAAGCGATCATTCAGCCAAGGCTTCTAAGGTTATGAAGCATTGTAGCAGTTGGGATTTGAAACCAGACAGACCTGTTGAGCTACTCCTGAATCTGGTTCTTACTGGCTGTTCAGCCAGCACAACCCTCTTTCATTTAATCAGTTGAAGGGTGCATATGAAGAGTAGGGTTTTGTACTTAGTGTCCAATGAACAGTAATCGCTGCTTTACATAAACCCAATTAGAAGTATAATGAGAATTGAAATTGTCTTCTCTCCTTTTTTTTTTATGATACATATCTGGGAACAATCAAGCAACCAATACTAGAAAAACATATTTTAAAAAAAGATAACGTAGCCCTAAAGAGAACTAAGTTGGTCAATATTTTGTTTCCCCTTTTCTTTCACAGGCCATGCGTAGACTTGCTTCCTGAGAGTGGGTTCAGGGGTCACTGTCAGCAAGGACTCCTAGACAGACTTGGCCATCAGGTCATTCTCTGCAAGTGTTCTCTGCACTGATTATTTCTTCGTACTTAAACAGCCATCCTTTTACTGCTATGTTAGAAATATTTACATTTTTAGCTGGGCCGTGGTGGCACACGCCTTTAATCCCAGCACTTGGGAGGCAGAAGCAGGTGGATCTCAGTGAGTTCAAGGCCAGCCTGGTCTACAAAGTGAGTTCCAGGACAGCCAGGACTGTTACACAAAGAAAACCTGTCTCGAAAAACAAAACAACAAAAAAAAACAAAAAAAAAAAAAAAGAAAGAAAATTTACATTTTTAAACTTCTTAGGTATTACACAAGAAACACTTGCCATTTCTATGTCTTAATGTAGAAAATAAGCAGCTTAGCTCTAAAATATCCAAAACCATGAGAATTATCCCTGAAAATCAGCAATGTCCGGTGACTGTGCTCAATGCTACTAACACCAAAACAGGTTTGCTGTCTGTGCCCACAGGGTAGGCTCTATCCTTGTTAAGTTGCAGTAAGTGTTGACGCAACACAGACTTTATGGGCTAGTGAGTCAGGAAGGACTAATCAAAAAGAAAGATGATTCCCTGATTGACCCTGAAATCTATGTGTTGTGTTGATCGCAGTGAGAAAGGTAAAACAGAATTACTAATGCACTCATTACTGAGCTTAAAAAAATAAAATCAATCTCTGAAACATAATTTTGTTTAGATTTATTTTGTGTATGAGTGTCTTGTTCATGTATGTGTCTGTGTACCATGTATGTGCCTGGTGCCCAAGAGGTTAGAAAAGAGTATCAGATAGCCTGGGTGTGGAGTTATAGATGGTTGTGAGCTGCTGTATAGGTACTGGGAACTGAACCCAGGTTCTCTGCAAGAGCAACAAGTGCTCTTAACCACTGAGCCATCTCTCTATAACCTATAATCTTTATTTTTAAAACGCAGCTTTGGGTTATCTTTTTGTGTATAAGTGCTCCTTGTATAAGGGCAGATAAGCTCTCTTCTACTTAAGGTCTGGCATGAGAGCCAGGCATAGTGGTTCAGATCTACAATCCTAGACCTTGAGAGGCTGGGGCAAGAGGAGCAAGAGCTCATGGTCTACTGCACTGCACAGTGAGACCACGTCTTAAAAAATCTAACATGAAGACAATTTTGACCAAACCCTTTTTTTATAGAAGACCACGGTGATGAGAACAATCTTTTCTCTAACTATTCAATAGTACTCAGAGGAAACAGTCATAAATGGAATTCTAACCACTTTAAAAATAATCTAAGGCAGAGTGGTGGTGGCACACATCATTAGTCCTAGCACTTGGCAGGCAGATCTCTGTAAGTTTGAGGCCAGCCTGGTCTACAGAGCAAATTCCAGGACAGGCTCCAAAGCTACACAGAGAAACCCTGTCTCGAAACAAACAAACAAAACCCCCTACCCCCACACCCCCGCAAAAAAAAAAAAAAAAAACCCCCGCAAAAAAAAAAAAAAAAAAAACCAAACAAACAAAAAATAAATTATCTATAGTAGTTATGTTTAAAGTGAGCTTTTAAATACAAAGCATTCTAAATGGAGTCAATACAAAAATAAAAATAGTTTTGAATATACACATCAGAAATGTGCATTAAAAAATACACATTTCAAGCCAGAATATTTCCTACTTTTTAAATTTTTTTACTTGATATTTTCTGAGTACCAACAATTTCTAGGTATCCATGTAATATACAGTCTTTCGTTTCCTGCACTAACTACATAGTTCATACTGGAGTAAAATTGCATTTTATTTCTAGAGAAAAACAAGTATGTAGCCTCAGCTGAGATGCTCTGCTTGAGAACCATAGGGTTCTCTGGCTCAGATGTGTGCAATTCCTAAATGTCCTTGGTATTCTAAAGGCATAATGTTCTATTCTAGTCCTGGTTTCTTCTTAAATACAGTTAGAAGCCATGTGTTGACTTCTGAAGGAAGATGATAGCTGCCCCATGAAGGCAGCTGACCATGCATTCTAGTTGTAGCTGACCAGGGCATACCAGAATCATACTGCTATCTCATCCTCATTGTGGCACTTGCCTATAATGGAACAATAGTATCTCTAAAGACTATGTAATAATAGTCTTGCAGAAAATGGATGAATACTTCTGTTTAAAAGAGTAAAATACTGCTTTTTTTTTCTTTAAAGGAAATACCAAAGTTCCATGTTATAATAAAGCTAGTCTTATAAAATCTTGGGTCCATGGTGACTATAAAAGATTATGTCACAGCACACTCTGGGAATACTGTTTTCTTTCATGCATTTTATGAATAACAAGAATACTGTATAGTGTGTTTAATTTGAAATTAAAATTTTCCTTTGTTATATTCCTAACCTATAAGATGATTCCACTAGTGTATATGAAATTCAATAGCAAATGAAAAACAAAACCAATATATTTAAATCTGGAAATGTATTATTTAATAAATGTAAAGTTATCTTTTGTTTTGGATTTGGTGTTTTCATCCCCAAGACAGGGTCTTGCTTTATCCTGGCTAGTCTCAAGCTTGTAACACTCCAACCTCAGCTTCCTCAGTGCTGAGCTCAACAGGTGTGTGTTACCAAATCTGACCCCATGTTACCTTTTTTACTACTTATTTGTGTCCTCTCTCAGAAGAGCTATTAAACATATTTTAAATCCGACATTCCAGGTTTGCCACTGCTCATCATTATTTTGATGTTCTCTTTATCCCACTTCTATTCTATGTGTAAGCATATGATTTCATGTGGTAGTCGGTGTGGTAAACATCAGTGTGGTAAACAATGTCCCACAAGTTCGAGTCTCTCTTCTCACCCAAATATATATTAGTGTTCATCATTCTAAGCAAAATTTTCAACCCAGTACCATATGTGTGTGTACACGCACATATACATACACACAGACACACTGTATAAAGAATTTTCACAAAACAAGTGCATTCCTGTTAGTCATACCTATATTAACACACAAGCATACCCCGCTCCCGGAAAACTTTCACTCCTAGCCATTGACACTAGAATGACAGCTGTTTTAATTTCTAAAACCTGTTTTGTAGTTGTTTTGAGACCTGGGTTATGTAGCTATGGCTGTCCTTGAACTTGTAATTCTCCCATCTCACTCTCTTGGGTGCTGGGATTATGGATATGTATCACCATACCTGCTACAACCTGTTTTATTTGAACTGCAATAAATATAACTATTATTTCTTTTTTTCTTTGTGTATTTGTCTTACTTCATTGTTAGAATTATGAGGATTCACCTGTCTCTGCAGCAGCAGCCATTTACTGGTTCTCCTGTTATGTAATGTTCTACTGTTCAAGTATTTAGCCATTCAACTGGTTTTCATTATTTGTACTGTTTGTAGTTTTGGTTTTTATGAATAGTGCTGTGCTATGGGCATTCCTGTGAGGTATTTGTCCATGTTTCAGAAATATTGAGATACTGTATTGGAGACTTAGGTCTCCAAGATGACAGTTAATAAAATTAAAGTTATTCTGCATCTGTGTCAAGCGAGCTACATAAAGTGTCTGGCTTCGGGAAGAACAGGACTTACCATGCAAATAACACTGAAACAATGAAATTCCAGGCCCTTGTAGTTTAATTATATAAACTCTACCCACAAGCAAGCCATATGAATGATGTGTCTAGAAAGAATGGAAGAAACAGAAATAAATACAGTTAGGGGAGAAAGTCAGAGGAACAAAAGAGATAGTTAAAAAAAAAAAATGACAGAACCACAAATGGCCCTGATGCAGAGAAATGATGGAGAACCAATAAGCAGAACCAGGTAAGCAAGAAGTTGAGTTGTAGTAGAGCTTAACTGTAGTCCTGAAAGTTCAGGAAACACTGGCTGTCTTGGAAGACTGCCATTCTCTATCCATGTTAGCCTTAGTCAATGTCACTAATTGTCACTTAACTCAGCCATCTAGAAATACTTACTAAAAAATCTAATGTGTGTCACCACTCATTCTTCTTGGTGCTTGAAATTTGTACAGGAACAAAATAAAGAACCTGCTGTGCTGGGGCGTATGTTCTAGAATGGCAAAGAAGTGGAAGGAGAAAATAAAGGGTATGTGACTCTTACAGGAAGAAGACACAGGGCCAAGGAAGGAGGCCAAGAACTCAGGAGATGCCGTGGTGTGTAGTATGAGAGAATCTTGCTCATTTCGGTGAATTCTAAAGGATACAAATAGAGATCAGTCTTCTAGTTTGAGTTTTTTTTTCCTGATATCTCATTATCCCAGCATTCTTTTCTGCTTTCTGTTTTCTTCCCTCTACCCTGCCTTCAGCTTTCCCCTTTGCTCATGCTCATCAGAACAGCGTAACCACTTGGAAACAACCCCCAAATTGGATGTGTTGTTTGTTGGTTGCTGCCACATAGGAGGAAGTGGATCATCATCTGAGGTCTTGTTCACTTACTCCTGCTCCTCTCTCTGCTATTTGCATGTAATGCCACACTTAGTTGCAAATGGCCCTGAGGCTAGTGTATATAAACCACAGAAGGTCGACTGAAGTTGTGTGTGGGGGTTGAGAGTGCTCCTGCAGTCCACACTAACCCAAACATAAAGGTAATCCAATTGGAGCAGTTAATCACTGAATTAAGGGACCAGTTCTTGGAAGATTGATTCACCTAAAGCCTGGGAGAAATAACTATCCTTTAAATGACATAATGTACTTTTTTTTTTTGAGATAATGTACTTTTCCTGGTATAATCACTTATGGAGATATAACCCTGTTAAGCATATCTGCTTTTCTAAGTACTTACTCAAAAAAGTGTAACTTTTCCTTTCCTTTTTCCTCTTCCTAAGCATGCTTTCTCTAACACTGTGGGCTTCCTTACTCTTTCTCTGAAGCTCCCCACACTCTTTTATTAGGTGGCTTCTCATCTACCATATGGCTTGGCCTCCATTACTGAACATATATGCTTAATTCAAACTGCATGGTTTTCTCTCTTACTCTTCTTCATCTTCTGCCTCAGAACAGCAGCTGAGATTTAAGCTTGCCGGCCATTGCTGTGATTGGTATAATAAAAAGTGGAATGGCCAATAGCTAGGCAGGAGGTATAGACAGGATTTCAGGTCAGAGAGAGGAAGTAGGAGGAGATAATCGAGGCACAAATGAGATGCCAACAAGACATGGAGGAAGTTGGACATACAGAATGAAAGAAAGGTAAAAAGACATGTGGTAGAACGTAGATTAACAAAACTAGGTTAATTTAAGTTATAAGAGCTAGTTAGAAACAAGCCTAAGCTATAGGCCAGGCTTTCATAATTAATAAGTCTCCATGTCAGTTTTTGTGAGCTGGTTGTCCAAAGAAAACTCTATCTACAGAGGTCTTTCTTTTAAACACTGATAAAATTATCCTCAAGCATTCTTCTTAGTCAGTTTTTACATTCTTTTACTAGCAAGTCTAGGAAACCTGAGAGAGGATCTCAACACCCTGGTAACATGTGGCACTCCAAAGTTTCTGTTAGAGTAGGAAAGGTCTGGACACATTCAAGACTTGTGAGTCCATGGCCTTTATCTGTAAGCTCCCAACTGAGTCAGGGAAGGAAGTGGTGAGAAAGGCTGGAAGCAGGACAGGAGCCAGATAATGAAGGGACTCACATACTAAATTAAGGAGCTTAGATTTTAATCTCATCTGGTAAAAGATAAAGGCAAAATGGTGGGTTATATTACCTGGCTAATCCAATCAGCTGAC